CAACAAACAATTAGTATTTACAATCTTCAAATGCTAGGCAACTGGTGAGGCTCCAATTAAATCTCCAATTTAATATTTTATTTGTAAATATTTAAAAAAAAAATAAAAAAGCAGAATTTAAGTTTTGTTAACTCGTTAGTAAACTACCAAGCCGTAGTGCAAATGAGTATTCAATTTCTTTTGCAATAATTGTATTCACTTAATATTCTTAGAATATGAGCTAAAGAAGGAACGTTCACAGAAGATTAAAGAAGTGTTTAAATCCAGTGATATTAGGTTTGTCTTACAAGCTCAGGATCAAAACGATTCAGCAGTTGCCCGTGTAGTTGACTTGTAAATGGCTGTGAATTAAGCAGATGACTTTTAATCTTACGTTTTCATTGAGAAAACGTATTCCAAATGTTTTGTATTGCATGACAATGCATCTTTTCATTATTCAATAACCAGTCGGAGAACCGCTTGTGTTCCGAAAATAAGTATGTGTACTAATGTCCTGTCATGTTCTTCAAAATTTGTCTTCTTGTGATTTTTTTTTTTTTTCCCAAAAACTAAAGTTGCCTCTCAAAGGAAAGTTTTTTTGACATTGAAGAGAAAAAGGAGTATGACATCTACTTTTAGCATGTCAAAAACAGATCTCTACAAGCCTTCTCTTCCATTACATGTTGTGCATTCAGTCAAAAAGTTGCATCAGAGTAAATTCTATAATCTGTTTTTATTACACTCTGATTACTTTATTAACATACAGCGAATATATACTAAACCTTTTACTTCAGCTTAAGTAATTCGGAATTTTTGACGGAATTGTTGTCAGAACTAGGACTTCACTAGTCAGAACTAAGATAAGTCAAATTAAATATTTCGATAACCCAATAAATTCAAGGTCGAAGTTTCAATATTTTATTTTCAGAGGGAGGGGAAATTTTTCCAGTTTTGGTCCATTATCCTAAGTATATTTGCTTCGATTCTTTATTTTTCCATAAAAGCGAAAAATTGGCGCATGGTATACATATAACGCATAGCTTCAAATTAAAATTTAATAATATGCAGAGTGGTTATAATTAAAGTTCCACATTGAAACGGTCATAAAAGGAAAACTACTGGATTAAATGTTATCAAACTTGGTAATCGTGTAAAGGAGGTCATGGGAATTTATTTTCCGTGAAAAAAAAGGAAGTTTGAAACCTCACCACCAGGGGGAAAAGGGCGCTGTATGCAATATTGTTAAACGAAATATGGGTCGGAATCTAACTTATCCTTTTGTTACAGGTGACGGAGGACGGGGACGCCTGGCTTTTAACATAGGTAAACAGGCATATGTCTCACGTCCTCCACTATCTCGAAGAAACAACTCCCTGGAGCCCCGCGGGACTGCACCGGGAGTTTACATGGCCATACAGGGACTAAATGTCAAGTAGATTTTACATAGGATGTTGTTTATAAAACAAAGTAACTTAAAAAGAATATAAAGGATAGCATTAAAACAATTAAACACATATAAGCTGAAACACATAGATATACAAAAATTAAACGTAAAAGCATAAAAACACACTCATAATTACGTAACATAAGATATAAAAAAAAAAATTCACACGAGAATACATAACATGACACACAGAATACAATATGTTGTATACCCTTAAGAAACTTTGAAGTAGGCAAATTACCATTTAAAAGTGTTAAATTTGATACAAGTCGAGTGCGACATCCGTGTAAGTGAGAAAACCACGAATTAGCGATTAGAAAATGTGAGATCGCAAATCACTCACACAAGTGCGTACAATCTGGAAATCGTTTTCTTACAGATCGCTAATTTGTAATTTTTGAAGCCTGAATTTGGCACTAAAACATGAAGATGCTGATTCAAAACGCTTTTAATCGATTTGGGCCAAAGAAATCCCTCATGTTATCTATCTAGTTCCATTGCATTCTCCTACTGTATTCGATTGCATAGCAGTTATTCCACACCGTTTAGTATTGAATGACAGCTAGTTTTATAACTGGACCATTTTTCTCTGAAGAGCAGTCGACAGCTGCACCACTGAGATTGCAGCTCACTTAGAATCAATGTTAAAATGTTTCATGATACATGAACTGCAGTAACTATTATTATTTAATTAAACTATTTATCCTTTCGACTTCGCTTTAAACTTTATTTATAGTTAAAATGACTAGAAAATGAAAAGCTGTCTTCAGCTGAAACGCAATTCATGTAACTGATATTTTAAAAAATTGACAAGAATGCAAAATTTATGGAAGTCTAGCAATCGAAAAATCTTAATTTTGTGTGAGCACTGAAAATAACTGTAGAAGGAAAGAAAATTAAGAAGAAAAGTAAGCAAACATTTACAGGAAAATTTGGCTGTCAGACATACCAAGATGTTTCAAAAACTTCGATGCTTTTGAATATACTTTCAGGATACTTCAAAGAATTTAGGCGTTCAAAGAGAAAACACTTGGACATGTACACCAGCAAATACCATCAATTGAGCTTGTGTTAGCAGAAAAGACAAAAAGATATCATTTATTCATTATTTGAAGATTCAGGAGTTTATCCAGTATTGTATGTGGATGTCACCTAAAGGTGTTTTTTTCCCCTCTGATGAAACAGTGGCCGAGCGGTAAAGTCGCGCTGAACACTGGTAGTTCGGTCCAAGGTTCGAATTCCGCAAACGGGCTGGCTGCATGGGCGTTTTTGTGGTTTTCCCCATGTGTAACGTGTATGCGAGCCAGTTTCCCTTAGAAAGTCCTCCACGAAGGCATCCCTTCCCTATAGGCAGATAGCCCTAGTGTGCTTTGTCATAATTAAATAAACCACAACCTCTTGATGAAACCAGTCTTTCCTTTCATCTCATATCTTCAAAATGTTTAGCCTCTAAAGACTGATAAAGGCTCTGACCAAATACTTCGTGATGAACTTTCCAAGGGAAACCAGCTGGCATACCCAGTACACATGAGAAAACCCACGAAAACGCCCATACAACCAGCCCGTTTACCGGGATTCGAACCCCGGAGTGAACTACTAGTGTTCAGCGACTTTACCGCTCGGCCGTTTGTGGGCCTTTATAAAATGGAAGGCAATAACTTTATTTAAAATAATTGTCAGAAATATCAAGATATTTCGAAAAGTTGAATGGTTTTTAATAAACTTGCAGAATGTGTAAAAAAAAAAAAAAGCAAAACTAAAGTAGAATGCCTGAAGAAAAATAGAAGAAAAATTGACATTTTATGTAAAATTTAATATTTGTATTTTTTTTTTTTAATTTAAAACCTTTTAATTTTATGATATTTGATTCTTGCGATTTCAAAAATAAAATATTTGACTAAAATATGAATAACATTTTAAGAAACCAAATGTAGGATGATAAAACTGTTTAAAGCAGTGTATGCAAGTCATCCTAAGTTAAAATGTCGGTTATACATCTCTCTTATTTATATATAACTTTTTCTGAACGGAACATTGAAAGGCGTGTTAACTGTGCTTTACTGTTTTTTCTTTTAAGTATGCAGTTTTCAAATGCATCCTAGTCTGGGTTGCAAGTATTCTTCGGAAAGAAACGCAATTCAATAAATAAAATCCAATTCTGGAAAATTTTATATTAAAAATATTTAAAATGCTCAGTTTGGAGGAATAAATAGAAAATTTTAAAATAATTATCTGAAGAGACAATGTAACACAAACAATTAAAATAAAAGTATAAAAATTTAAAAATTACCTAAAATAATAACTATGACAAAAATATGTATAAAGAAAACTATTTGAAAAAAAAATAAACGCTGCACCTTTATTTACGCAGTTCGAATAGGTAAATAGAAATTTTTAAAATAGTTATTCGAAAAAAACCATTCAGCTTAAACAATTAAAATAAAATTCGAAGAAGAAAAAATTACTTAAAATAATAAGTTATAATTAAAAATATAATATAAAGAATATTATTTGGAAAAAAGGAACGATGGTGACTTTTTTTCCTTTCACGGGAAAGGAAACTACGTTGCCATATATTAAGAAGTTCACCAAGTGAACTATTCTTAGCGCAAACTGACAAAAAAGTGCCAACATAAATTTGTGAATTTCTCCGTAAATTTTGCTTCAAATTTTACAAAATTTCATATTTAGGTGTAATTTGAGTCGTAGAATCGAAATATGTAAAAAAATTGGCATGTTATTTCAGGAAAAGTCCGATTTTGTGTCAAAATACCTATGTTAGAATAGTGCTATATATAAATCTAATATATATCCTAAGTCGCGCTTTCGAGACATGAAGAACGCAATTTGAATTTTGTCAATCGGCCCAGTAGATCGAGAGATATTGGACTGTCCCCCCCTTTTTTTTTTTTTTTTTTTTTTTTTTTTTTTTTTGAGCAGTGTACATAAGTTTTCTTTAATTTATTAAATTTGTCTGAGAAATAAGTCTCTCATATTAATAATTTTAAATTTTGTTATACATATTTCAATTGTGCATGTGTTTTTTTTATAAAGTAGTTGATTTCTTAATATGAAAACAAATTTAGAGAGTTGCTTCAAAATATTTGATAATCTAGACATTTGTTAACTATTTAAACTGTATAAAAATTTTATAATAAGGTAGAGGACTTTTTATAGCTTCAATGTTGGGAAAGATACAGTAGAAATTAAGTATGCCTTTTTTATATAATGATTTGATCAGTTAAAAATGAATCTTCCATGCCTTTATGTGTTAAGTGTGCTGAGGTATTCAAGTAGAATATTCTGATTTTAGACATTTTATTATGGCTTATGCAAATGGAACTTTCAGAAAATTTATTGATTTATTATTTCTTTTAATAAATTTTATAAATATATTCTAATATTGGAAAATGTATGTGTGGTGTTTTTATTAAAAAATTGAGAGTGCACTTATAATGAGTTACAGTAACAGGAAATATGTTTCTGATTTTTATTTTCCAAAAACTCATGGTCTCGTGAAAAGTATACCGTTTGTGACATCTTTTAGATTGTAAACTGATTCTACTGCGGGAAGCGGAAAAAGAAGTTACTCCAGAAATTAAAACAGAAAAAAAAGGAAAAAGAAATTAATGCAAAACCTCTTTCTGCAAAAGCTAAGAAACAAGAAAAAATAGATTCTCTAAAGAAGCTAAAGCAGCATAGGAATACTAAGATAGCTAAAGTAAGTATATCTATGTAGTTTTAATATGATGTCTTCATATGACAGTATGTCAGTGTTTCAGAAATAATATGTGTTGATTTTAAACACTGAAAGTTATTCCTTAATGCAGGTTTTATTTGGGGGGGGGGGTGTAATAAAAGAGTTCTGATAGTAAGTGAATTTTGATCAGACAATTAAATTAAATTACAATTAAATTTTATTTACGAAAACAATGTGATTAGAATTTGATTTATATTAATAAAATATAAATTGTAAGTTTTAGATATTAGATTTTTAACTATTTTTTATGCTGCTTATTTTATCAATTGTATAAAAGCTTAGTTTTATTCCTTATAATGTGTAAAATTAATGGTCACTTGTATCAATATAGTAGTTTATAGACTGCAGAAGAATTTAATGGTTTATATTATTATGAAAATTTGGTTTATCTTTATTGACACTTTTGAATATTCTTAAACATTAATTTCATAGTATTTATTATTGTGGCCTCTGTTTTTTTTAAATGCCAAGTTGGGACTAGGAATATTGCCAAGATCTTATTTACTTCTCACATACACTTTGTGACTTCCATTTTTTTTAACTCTTTTTGACAATGCATTAGAAGCATTTTCTTGTAGCAAGGACTTTCACAACATGAACTGCACAAGGTAAGACTCATGATGATGGTGAATTGTGTCTCGTTGAACTTTATTCACCACTTAGTGGAATGCCACTGTCTTTCAATATTTTATGTATGAGCAAGCTGCTCTTGGATTGAAATGCATGGTTGACAGGAGATTCTTTATTTGCTAATAGTCTATGCAAAATATTTATTTTGTACATGGTTGAAGATCTTTGTTATGAGTGTGATTCCCTCTCTGTTTGGTACCTGAGTGAGAAAGAATTCACCAGTTTCTCAGCATAGCTCATCAGATATCAAGTACCATGGAAGAATCCTGCCAACTTAATTTTAACCCTGTACAAACTGATTTTCATATTTCAGGGCCACTCTTCATATAATTAAGAAAGTGCACTGCATTAAGCTGGTTCTTTTTAAAAGTATGCTTTTATTTAAATTAACTAAGTCATTTGAAGTATATAAAATTACAAACTAGTCATGAAGATGAGATATTTGCAGATTTGTCCAAAGATATCTGGAACATACAGCATCAAAAGTCAGTTATGGAAATGAGGTATTATTGACATGTAGTAAATTTTTTGTGTAACCACTGATCTCTTTAGCACTACAACTACCTTTTTTATTGCAAGCATTGCTGATGTCTGTGTGCATAATCATTCCTCCCTGCATTGTCATATTCACAAGCAAGAGCTTACAATTTTCTAACACAAATTCCAAATGTGAATTACAATTTTATATAGTCAAAAATTCAAGTAATAAAAGTAAATAACAGAAGTAAATATAATTAAATACACTCAGTCATATAAGATAATTACTGAAAGAAAACTAAAAAATTTCTGGTAAACTTCTAACCTTTTTACATATCTAATTATTACCTAAAAACTGGTTTTCTAGAACACAATTTCAAATTAATAAAGTTCCAGTGTGATTCACACCTCAATAAGTAGAATAATCTAACAAATTTTGTTGCCATTATTTTCTATAAATATTTTAATTTCAGGACCTTTTTTCTGATAATTATTTTTGATTAAGAATGCTCATGTAAATCAACTCCTGTTGTTAAAATATCACAAGCTATTCTTTGTTTTTGCAAACTGCATATTGTTTAAAACTATGCCTTAGAATTGGCCTTAAAGCAGACATTAACATTTGACCTTAAGTTTGACATTTCTGCAGAAAATGCATTGCCTTGAAATTGACATATTAGATATTCTTTAGCCTTGTCAGATTTCGGGAGACCTCTTCGCTTGTTTAACAGAAACAAAACTTCTGAAATTATATGTGAGTCTGAAAAGAAAACTCAGAATTTTGAATACAGTTAAAAACATATTACCATGATCAAGTAAAAACTCCAAAAAATGTTTTGTTAGAAAGTTGAAGTTAAGATAATATTTCCTTTTAGAGTCTGTAGATTTCGGTCCTGGCAGGTACGCATCCTCATATGGTATTGAGCACTCACAAATAGTTTCTGCAAGTTTGTTAATACAGTCAAAAGTCGTTAATCCGGACTCGTCGGGACTTCGGCGATTCCGGATTATCGATTTTTCCGGATTATAGATCATCAGTTTAAATCTCGTAAGATGGCATGCAGATATTCTAAAATTAAAAAATATGAAACCGTAATTTATGAAATAAAGAACAATTATGATGATCTAAAGGTATCAAAATTTGCAAAAAGAAAAAGCTTAATATTTATTGTTTACTTAATTAAACTTCTTTTCCTTCAATGTAAGTTGTTTAAGTTTGCTTCGTTTCATGTGATAATACTTCTCTTTAATTCTATTAAACAGACATAATTTCTTGTTCAGTTACAAAGTTCCGCCGTTCAAGTCCTATAAGCTGTGTCAAGAACACCGACTAATTGTCAATCGAATTTTTTCGTTTTCAATAACCTCTGTTACTTTTCTTCGACTATCGGAAGCGAATTATAATGACGAGGACTTGATTTTAAATCATATCAAAGACGGAGTGCATCAAGATGAAATACTACATTTAGTTAGCAATTATAGCCAAATAAAATAAAAACATCTGCCTTGAAGATAAGGATAGTGATGAGAGATCAACTTCCAAATCATTGTGCGCCGAGGCATTCCCCCCGCCGAACTGCGTGAAATTGATAAACAGATTTCGGATTTCGAAACATACATTCGCTTTAGATCCTTTACATATTAGCAAATATATATCGGAAATTCTATTTGATATAAATCGAAAGTTTAAGCTTACTTTTAAAAAATTGCTCTACAGTCTGCAAAATAATAAGAACGGATGCAATTCGAAAATTAAGGAACAACGCAATCATCACATTAACTGAAATAGATAATTATTTAGCTTATACATCCATTATACTAATGCGCACGCGAAAACGTATTCTGCGCTGCGCTTGCGCACACTCATATGCCAGTCGTAAAGGTCTTACGCGCACGCGTGAAACGCCTCTGCGCATGTGTCAACGCGGCGCATGCGCAGAAAGTTTTTAGTTTTGATGTCCGGATTATAGATCCTTCCGAATTATGGGTGTCCGAATTAACGACTTTTGACTGTATATAAAAATGATGATCCATGACACCTTTTTTTCAGTGCGTAGGAGGGATTTAGCTTAAGACAAGAGATCTGAAGGATTGTTTTTTCCAGAATGATGAAATCAAGTTTCAGGATTTGTCAATTCTGTGGTTTTGTGAACTCAGTTAGCCACAAATTACTTCCTTTTTTTTAGAACAATCTTTTATCCAAAGCAGGACATGTTAAAGCATTACCCCCCTCCCCAACCCTGGTTTGATCAGTTCTTGTACTTTGCATTTTAAATGGGCCATTGTGTAAGCTTCCAGAAGTTCAAGGTAATGTAATACTTTTAAGTGCTGCTACACTGTTTTAACAAGTGATGTGATTTACAAATACTTTGTTTTGTTTTTTCACCTTCACATAAACTAAAGCTTCATTTGTAAGTTTGAAAGCATGACAAAAAATATTAATCTCAGTGATGTCATTAATTTCTTTATCTGTAGAATCAAGAACTACTCTGGGGATTCTGAGTTCATCTAAAAGTGGCAACTCTTTACACAAATTTGGCCACCTTTCTACTATTTTCAGACATAAATTCTCATCCCATGTAATTTTCTTCTGACAGAATTTTTATTTTAAGCATTTCATTCATATAGTAAGAAGTATTAGCAACCCTAGTAAGTGATTTTTTGATGGTTTGCAAAAGAAATCTATTACTATTTTCATTGGCAGAAATCATTTCTGCCAATGAAAATAGTGTCAGCTTTTGTGTCAGCTGTCTGCGATATCTTCTCCAGCATGTAGCTTCCCTCAGTAAATCATTAAAACAATATGGTTTCATTTGTTGATCATCTATTTCATGTAGAAACGATTTATGTCTCTTATTGCAACTGCAAATTTGATACCTGAACTTTTAATTACACTTTCCTGTGTATGGCAAAAGGCTTAATACGAATTTATTATGAGTTAACAAAATCTCTTTTGCTATTAACACTCATGTTTTCCAATAAAATACATTTAAATAGTGGATGATCAGCTTTACACAGTATACAAGTTTTCCAATTGTTTGTGTTAGAATTAATTATTAAAACTTTTGATCAATTCACATTAGGATTCAGTTTATTTGAAAAACTAAACTTTCCTGTTTGAGATAAACGGAAAGTATGTGTGATAGTTTCAAGCATAGTACATGTCCATTCCAAAAATATTAGAAAATAAAAACTTGGAATATTCTTTTTTCTGAAGATAATTTAAATTGCCTTTAGGTTTCCCTGTCTAATTTTATATAACTGTATTAATCAATGTGGCTTCCAACAAAATAGTTTGCTTATATTCAAATACTTTTAGCGATCTCAAATTTTTATTGATACAATTTTTTCTGATGTAATTCTTTAGCAGATCTTTCTGAATTTTTTTGCAATAAAAAATTGCAGAAATAGAGAATCAACCAAAATGTGGTTGTGTTCATATATTTCAACAACTGCTTGGAACAGTAAATCAGAATAATCATCTGACAATTCTAAATTCTTATCTTCACCTTTTAAGTGAATAATTATAATTATAATTTCAGTGGCTCATCTATTTGCATATTATTAATTATTAAATTTGTGAACAGAGTTTTAAAATTAATGAAATCACAGTACAAGCCACGAAAGCAGGAAGTGGAATTTCTGGTAGACAGAATTTTGGGTTTATCTCATTTGACATAGAATTACTGTTTACATTAGCACTAGCAGCATCAGACATAGTTTTAAATTAGGTTAATATAAGTTTCAGGCCTACATCAACAGCTTCAAAGCGTTTGGTAGCATTAACAGTATTGTCTTCTATATTGGTTTGATTTGGTTTATTTGACTACGGCAAAGCACTCTAGGGCTATCTG